AGATTTAGGCATCTTAGTTACTAGGAATAATTACCAGAGATGTAATAGGTAGATAGATAAACATACAATATTATAGATATACATATCACACAGCACATATATGTTGTATGTGTAACTATATAGACCTACATTGTGTGTGTGTGTGTGTGTGTGTGTGTGTGTGTGTGTGTGTGTGTGTGTATGTGTGAAATCAAAACTGAACTCACTGGAATACAGGAGATAAAATGGTCAAGCAACCAAGAGAATTTACCACATTGATGAGCTTTATTCTTAGGAGAGCTCCTCAGGCCCTCACTCAGAGCCTACATATTCTCCATTTAAATAATACAATTCTTCAATCTTTGGGTATCTGCTTTCCCAATCCACAACAGATTAAACGTTGATAATTCAAGAGTGTAGGTGAACCTGTGGTTGAGACTCACTGCAAGCAGCCTGATGGAGGGAGGCACAGGAGCTCTGACAGGGCCCTCTAGGTACCGTCCTAGTAGGCCGGATGGGAGGAGTCGTAGTGGACATGGGCAACATTTCTTGAATGAAGGGTAATGAATCTGGGTGTAGTCCTTCAGATGAAACCTTTGAGAGTTCAGTAACAAGGGTATATGAATCCAACAGGAGAATAATGGTGAATACGAATTCATTACTATGTCATATAATGCTAGTTGCTTTTTAAATTATTGTTTCCCTATAAATATTTACCATCAATTATTCGTAAGCTATTCTGAGAGAACTCAACACTGTCTAAATCTTGACACTATAAATTAGCCAAATCTTTCTTAAAAGGTAATGAGAAGATAGAGCCTTGCATTTCTCATAAAAGGAAAATACCACCATAAGTGTACCCATCACACACCATTGAGGCATGAAATGGGAAAAATTAAGCTGAATATGGGATTACAATACTAACTTTCTGTAACATCCCCCTGAGCTATCACCAGTGTTCTTAATTCAAATATATACTCTTGACCTTAAAATTATGCTAGTCCAAAAATATTCAGCATATTTAGTGTTGTGAGATAGAAGTTTCATTGCATTCAAGCAAATGGTTTTGGTATTCCAACCAAAGGATAGCTTCATCATGTGGGAACCCATCATTATAAAGGAAAATGACTAAATTTTCTAAACAAATGTAAATTTTCTAAACAGACTCCTAATAAGGGCTATTTTTCATAGTGGCCATCCTAGTAGAAACTTACTCCGCAGATGTTGTCATTACTTAAAGGTTGGGGCATTGCCTTTAGTTTTATTTAGTTCATGAGAAAGACCACTCTTTTTGCTTTCTAGTTACCCTCCCCCTACTGGCACATGCCCCTGATCACCCTATTTTGAATGTGCCTCGTTTATACAGATTAATGAAAAGCCTCTTCTTGGACACTGGTACATGGCTTGTTTATCATGGGCTTTGCTGAGGATCAGGAGCTGGAGAGGGTTAATGGGAATTAAGAGTGTCTATTTTTGACCACTGCATCTGTGAGGCATACCAACCTCCTTTGGCTAAAAAAGCAGCATGCAACTGAGATTACCAAGGACCCATTCCTGGGGCTAGTGAATGGGGGAAATTCTCCCTACCAGATAGAGGGCTTTTAGGAATCATTTTCTTCTGAGGTTTGAGTGTGTGTGTTTCTAGCGTGGCTCTTAATTGAACTGCTCTTCCAGTATCTCCTGTAGTTCATTGGCACCTGGAATCCCAGGGAAAACTCTGAGCCCAGCAGTTGTTCAGTAACACAATAAATAAAGGACAATGAGTTAAGTTTGAGATCCTAGTCTAGGGTTCTATGTTCGTGGTGGACCTTCAGTAAGTATTTGTTGATTGACCGAATGTCTGACTCGCTATCGATGTGAATAAACCACATGCATCTGACCATTAAAATACACAAATACTTTTTCACTTCCCGGAAGTAAAGTAGCAAATAGGCAGAACCATTCCTACCCGTCCTAATCCCCACTCACCCCAAACCAATTGAAAGGAAGGGAAAGAATATGAAGAGAAAATGAACACAAGAAAAACAATTAGCCAATGCACTCTGCAACGTCTGTAACAGTATCTAGAATGACAGCACAGCCATTGTTCGGGCTGCCAGAGCCCTGTATGTTTGCTCGCTCACAGAGGTCGTGGGAGAGTAACAAACTAACTAGATTAGATGTAGGCTGATGCCTCCACGCCACCACCACCTCACACAACACGCACACTGTTCTGAACGTCTGAACACATGCAGGCAGGTAAACCCAGAGAATGGGCACTCCATGCCGGCAGGAGGGGAAGAGGCTGCCAACAAACAGGGCCTGTTTATTATTTAACAGTTGGTACTGCTAGAGGCCTGGCGCTGTGATAGAGCACTCTCTGTTTCAGTGCAAGTCAGCCTGATTATGAGAGCGTGTGAGCCAAATCATGTTTACCATAGCCTGGGAGAACCTCAGTGCCCCCAACAGACATGGAAATTCTTACAATAGCTCTCGTCCAAACACAGAAAATCACTCCTGAGATGGAAGTAAAGAGCTTCATGTGCTTAAATCTCGTCCGATCATCTGCTCAGGGTCGCTACATGTTCCACTGGCTTTTCCCCTGCTCAAGACCCCTCATTCCTCTCTAATGATATAGTTTCTACTCCCTTGCTTTTGGTTTCTTTATTTCGGGGCCTAAATCAGCCAAATAATGTGTGCATCATTCATCTACTAATATTGCCCATGCTTTGGCTTTCCAGCAAAAGAACGTGCAGCCCAGGACAGCCACCGCCCACTTCACCGAGACTGCTTCTGCAGCTAGTCTCTTCTCTGCCAATCTGGGCCACAGGTGGATGCCTTCCTACAAATCCAATCAGCAGGATAATGTGCTACTATCACAAGAGTGGACCTTAATGACAAAGAGCCCTGGTTAGATGGTCACCCCATTAACTTTGATTTGATTATTCTGCCCCAACAGAACACTTGGCTTCACAACCACAGATGGCTCTAGCCCAACAGAAAACCTGTAGAGAAAGTGGTCATGTTGGGTTCATACATTTTGAAAATATTAAATTTTATATAAAAACAAGATAGTGTCGAGATGGTCCCTGGCTTCCTAGAAAAGCACTAACTGTGTTTTTAAAAAAAACAACAACGAAGGTCAGAGCACATGAGACAATTGTGATAACTAGACAACACAGATAATCTAATCATTTCCTTTGAAATTCAACACAAATCAACATTTCTTTTAAGTGTGAGAACCTTGGCTTTTATCTTCCACACACAACCAAAGCAGCCTTTGATAGTTTATGTGACTATTCTATACAACTGTTTATAAATTTGAGATAAAATTGGCTCTATGTAAGCTAGTTCGATATTTTGAAACTTAATTGTACGTTGGATACACTTTATGACCATCAGTAAATCACCAAAATACTTTCAACCAATGAGGATAAAGGCATAGCAAATTACCATATTTCCCATGTATAAGACGCTCCCAAGTATAAGATGCACCTTAATTTTGGGGCCCGAAATTTAAAAAAAAAAAAAGTATGACATAAAGTTATTGAACTCAAGTTTTATTCATCATAAAATTCATACAACTCCTCATCACTGTCAAAACTCCCAACCATTAGCTTGTCCTCATGTGTCTTATGATGAATCACTGTCTTCATATATTGCCTCGTCCTCAGC